ACGGAGCAAGAGACGGTGGTGAAACTACAGAGCGTAAAACAGGCTCCAAAAGACGTGAAACAACCGGTTAAAACAATCACAGAACCACAACAAACTGTGAAAGTTCCTAAAGATCAACCAGAGAGAAATGAGAAAGTCCAAGTGATTAAGAAATTAGAGAAAGAAACGACTAAAGCTCCCAGTACAAATGAAGAAAATGTGAAACAGACACAAGTGGTGGAAGAAAAAGAACAAATGAAGGTGAACACACTGGGACTGGCAAAGAAACAAACTTCTAAAGAACCGTCAGATCAAAATATTGTACAGAACGCTACAAAACCAGTTTATAAACCTAAAACTGAGCAAAGTGGACACGAGCAAATATCAAAAGGAACAGTTCATAAGATGATTGGACAAAATAAACAGAACGCAACAAGATCAGTGAGTAAAGTGGAGTTTTCTGAACAGACGGGGACAGGAGCTGTGAGGGAACAGGAGAAGACGGACGGTTCAGGTAAAGGGGACAAAAACGTTTTGGCCAAAGGAGCAGAAGCGACAGTCCGACCCAAATCCAAAAGTGAAACGGTAAAATTACAACGAACTGCAGCCGGTTTAGAAAAACAACCACAGACTGAAGTCATTAAAAAACAAGTGGTTCAAAAAGCTGAAGCGCAGGATCGACCGGTGAAACTGCAACACGCTGAAAAAGAACCAGCAAAGGCCACGGTTTTAAAACAAGTCGAGTCTAAATAATCCTGTAACCGTGTCAGAGACTGTGTCCAAATGTCCACCCTGTTCAGTGGATCATTCACACAGAGGTTTGGATCCACAGCTCACAACATCTGGGCCTCGTGACTCTGTCGTCTGACACAATCACAGTCTACGTTCAGTCTGCACCTGAAGTTTCCCAAATCAGATGTTTTGTCTCTATGTTCATGTATCTGATCTTTTAATGTGAGTCTGAACCACACAGATGTGATGTTTTCACATGTGACCAGGACACTTGGATCTGTGCTCCTGAAACTGATCCATATCTGATCTTTAACATGTGACTTGAGTGTGAACAGTCAGGTCACATTCATCCACCTACACGTCATCAACAAGACACAAACGTCACTATTCTGCACTGAAGTAGAGAAAACTGTTCATGATCCATGTGACTGAAGTGAAGCACATCTCCACTCACCACAAAACACCACCACCAAAAACCTGCTCCTTCTCCTTCTCAATCTCCTCCTTAAAACAAGTCAGTTGTTCATGTTGTGGCTCCGGTACGAGAGGAACTTTAAAATCTCCAGGTGTAAACACAGAGACGCTCGCTGCGGTTGACGTCGTCGTGTCTCCAGTGTCACATGTGGGACACTTTTGGACCGTTTAATGTTCACACTGGAGTCACATACAAGTCACATTTAACTGGAAATGTGAACGAGCTCGAAAAAACATCAGATTTCACAAAAACAAACCAAAAACGAATAGAGCGTTAAACCTGCAGACTGAACGTAGCCTTAGAAAACTTTATTTTTCTGTCATAAACGATGATCTGATTGGACTGGCACAAGGATCATGGTCCAGGTCTGTAACAATCATCAATAAATCCCTTAATCTCATGATAACTTTTTACGAGCTTGAGAACTTTTGTGGCCATGATAATTTCTGTTAAAAGATGCAAAAATCCCAAGGCACTACTCACTGGTTAAAATAAAATGCCTTTATTAATTTACGGCGCGTCTTAAAGGACGACGACGTGTTTCAGTTTGTGGCTGAACAAAAAAATGACAATGAGGACAAACACTTCCTTCCCGAAGAGCAACACTGAGTTTGATCCACTGGGTGTTATCCTCTGGACGCTCTTCTTCTCAAACCTTCTTTACACGATCATTTCTTTTTGCATGTTTGTTTGTTTTCCTCGTCTCTCGTTTTCTACCAAAGAGACTGAATGTGAAAAGGATTCTGTCGCTCTGTACTGACTCGCTTCCTTCATGACGCTGGAACAAACGTGTCAGCACAGACTCTAGGTGGATTATCTGTTTAGGCCGAGTCCAGAAAGCGTCGCTGTCTGTGCGGAGAACATGAAGCTGCAACAAAACAGTTCAATGTGTGACAAAACAATCACGATGTCAAATCAACACGAGTGAGTGGGACATGTCGGCGAACATGCGTCATGCAACGAACGAAACGCAAACGACGACGAGGCTCAAACTCCAACCAAATCTTCAACCAACAAACTCCACAAAGATAAACATTCTTCATGAACAATTTATCCACAACGATCAAGAGAAGAAAGAACAAAACTTAAAGGAAACAACGAGACACAACAACAGTCACACAACAAACTCAACTTACCAGAGTTTAGTCGCAGTTTTATTCTGTCATTTTGCAACAAAACAAAATAAAAAAACAAAAACAGACCAACGACGACAGAATTCCAAGGAAAAAAAGCAGCGTCTGAACAAGTTTGAGTTTATAATTTCACTCAAGATTAACTGTAAAAATAAGACAAAAATATCAGTGAAAACTAAACTGAACACATGGTTTAGTCCAGAGCTCGACATCTTTCAAAACATAAATGTTCTGATCCTCGAGACTCGTCACAAAGTCAGTAAATCTATTTTTATTTTAAATTCTACAATGAGTCTGAGTCTGAACAAGTTCGTTGTGTTTTGTTCCTGATCAGAACATGAGTTGAGTTTGTTGTGTCTCGTTGTTTCCTTTAAGTTTTGTTCTTTTCTTCTCTTGATCGTTGTGGAGAACTTGTTCATGAAGAACGTTTCTCCTTTACACACATTTACACATTTACACAGAAAACCATGAAGCAGGAGTGATGTTTATCTGATATTGTGGCACTTTAGGCTGATGTGAAAAAGTTCTCTTGAAGTTCACTGATAATTACAGTAAATTCTTTTCTTAATGAATCACATGAACTTTTTCAGAAACACAAACGAACCTGCTGCACATCGCATCAGGTTTGTTAAGTTGTGATGTTTTGTTGTATTTTGCTCTTGAATATTTATGTAAAATTGTCGTGTTGGATCATGGGTGACGTAGAACATTGAACAGAGTCTAGGAGAGATCGCTATATTACACAAACATGCATGGATGAAATATAAAACCTGTGTAGACGTGTTTTTGATGAACAGACGTTGGGTCTTTGATCAGGTCTGAGTCCGGCCTCAGTCTTTGTCCTGATGATGTTGTTGTTGTTTTAGTTTGGTGTAAAGAAAACTCGTGTCTCTGATGTAAATATTCATGTAAATGTGTTTGGTTTGTTTTGTCGCGACTGGACGGACGTCGACGTTTAAAGAGACGACATCACCCTGTTCCCTCATCTCTGTTCTCAAGTCGTTTCTTCATCTCAGACCTGGACTTGTGTTTGTTTTTTTTTTTTGTTTCATTCACATTTTTAACTCACAAACTCAAACATTTACACTGTTCCACCTCGTGATGTCATCATGTGTCCACACGTCCCTGTTTCCCTGGGACAGTCTCAGGTCTCAGTTCTGTCCCACAGTTTTATACAGAAACGTCCCAGTGTCTGTTTTGACCAAACTGATCCTGGAACAGAAAAGAGAAACATAAACTGACTTTTGTTTTAGTAAAATACAGAAAATCTGCTTAAAAACAACCAAAGAACAATTCTCCTTTATTTTACACTTGTTTCGCAATTTTATTTTTACCAAACCATAAAAAAAACAAAAACGGGATGTTCCAGTTTTTTATTTTGAAATTCTGGTCACCGTAGTAACGTGGTAAAAGTTCTATTCTAAACCTCATACACTTTATTATTATTTAATACATATTATTGTAATATAATTTAAATTTTATAGTAATAAAACATTGTAATTTTTTTTCTTTTTTTTATTTATTGAGTAACAAAAATAAAGTATAACACATAAGAACAAAAATAATATATGAACAGAATAACATTAGATGAGACAATTCCATAATTATTCTGAAGCAATAAACAAAATCAAACTAAACCTTTTTATTTTTATTTATTTTTTTTTATTTATTTATTTATTTTTCTTTTTATTTATTTATTTTTATTTAATAATTTTTATTTATTTATTTATTGTTTTGTGGTAAGGGGCACATCAGTCCACATTTGGTAAAACGTTTAACTTAACTTGAAAACTACCACTTCATGACATCACAAGGTGGAACAGAGTGTTTGTAGATGTAGACAGTGTTAATCCACCACATGAGAATAAAACTAAACAGACTCAGTTTGTTTTTGAGGAGGTAAAGTTCTAACAGAACTAAAAGAGTCGGTTGTGTTTGTCCAGGTGAAATATTCAAGTTTGTAAAATGTGAAGTTTCTGAGTAAAAGTGAAACATCGACTCGTCTGAAATGTCTCCGTTTGTCTTTATTTTTTATCATTTCCTCAAAAATATATATAAACTTTTTTATGTGTGCAGATCAGATTTATAGTTCTGCATTTAGACACATCACACTGGGGGCGCTGCACATGTATGTCTATGGCAGAATGTTGAGCAGTTTCCAGGGGCAGAGTTTCACACTGTTTCACACTGACAACACATGATGTGACTTTTCCAGGATTTCCAGGACCGTGGGACACGATGCACACGAGAAAAAAACAAGCAGAAGAGTTTTTTTTAAGACGATTTGAAAACTCAAGAAAATCTGAAAATATTTTTAAAGAGCTCAGTTTTATTTCCTGTGGTCAGTGAGTTTATTTCATGTTTTAGTGTAAACTCAGACTCTGATTCTTGTGACTCTAACGATGTTTTAGAGAAACTTGATTAACACATAAATCAGGTTTTTATTATATTAATATAAATAAAAGTCAGATGTAAAGTGGGACGTGTTCCAGACAGAGCAGTGCTCACAGTTAGCGTCACACACGACATCAGGGGCAGTTTTTTCTCACAGACAGTTTTATTTTTCTTAAATGTTGTTGGTTCGTTTGAGAGACGCCGCGTTCTGAACGACCTTTGACCCTGAACTGTGATTGGCTGATATTGAAGTGTTGGAGGATTCTGATTGGTCGATTTTGAAACAG